ACGTTAGAGTTTCATTGCAAGCCACAAGAGACTCACTTAATTCCACTTCATGAATTCACTATGTTGTGTGATAGCTTATAAAGTGCCACTCCACCTCATAAGTTACTAATGCGTGACTTTAGTTGTTAAGCTACAAGTCTCCTTCTTATATTTAAACTTGAACAATTCCAACAGTTGTCAACTTTTTTTCAAAGCTCAAGCAATTTTTCCCATTGCATCGTCCAATACTTGAAAAAAATGAGTATATGCATCTCAAAATCTTAGAATGTTTAGTAGATCACCACCTTGCTTATAGCGAAGATTTATGATTCAGCGGAATTGGGAAAATCGCGCCAAATCCATAGCAAAGAGAAAAATTCCAAATTAAAGAGAAAGCACATCTCAACAATAAAATCTTCTCATTACAATAGTTAATTTGGTTATTTATAACGTACACTTAATAATATACAAATTAGGATAAACGGCACAATAAACAAATAACGATAAATAAACAACAAAATTATAATTAAGTTGATAAGTTAAAGACAAATAACAATTGTTATAACTAAAATGTAAAGCCTCTTGAATCAATTTAAAGGTATAGGATTTTGTTATCCGGCCATAACGTACATGCCACTCATTAGTACGCAATATTTGACTTTCTCTTTACCAATATAATGAGTGACGGATAATAAAGTGAGAAGTATGACATTTACGAAAGTGATACGAGTATTCAACCATATTATATGACAATGTCAATCGTCAATATCATATAATAGTAATAAGAACCACAAAATTTTCCATAATTTGTTAGAGTTTAACCTAACTTTCAAATCTATGAATCAGGTAACATTCCAATCAGTCGTTGCAGTAAAAATATGGTAATCTAGGATTCCGTGATTTGATCATGCATGGAACCGAAACTCCAAACCCAAATCTTATTTGCTTGTAAGCATTTGAAACTGAGTTGACTAGCACTTGGATATTATAAGAAATAGAACCATAAACTTGACTATTATCTGTTAAAGTAACATTCTGTACATCCGAATATTGGGGCCATTAGAACCTAACTTTCAAATCATCAAATTAGGTAACATTCCATTAATGTTCATTTGTTACAGTGAAAACATGGTAATATTCCCTTGATTCTTGCATGGAACCGAAATCAAATCTTTTTTTGTACTTCCAAGTATTTGAAACTAAGTTGACTAGGACTTAGATTGGGAAGTGAAAGAGACGTTGAATATGAAGGTGAATCACGACTAAATCCTTACCACCTACTTTGTAATATTCTCTTATCAGGATGACCTTATTTTCCAAAATCAGATAGGAATTCGGATAATGACTTCACGGACTCTTTTAAAAGTAATTTTGGAGTCAAAGGTTTTTATTCTTGTAAAAATAAAAATAATAATCATAAATAAATAAATAAATAAAGAAAAAGAGAAAACAAAAATAGTAGTGCCCTCATGTACTCAGCCCACCGGTCATTTGACAGTTTGAGAAATAAAAAAATGTCTAACTCATATTTTCATCGATTAGCATCTAAAGAGCCCAAAATCACATGAGCCCAATTAATATTGGGTAGGCCGTTAAAAAACATGCTTTTAATTTCATTGCAGACTATGATTAGGGTCGATCTCTAGATGCTAGTTGAAAGAGTCCTGGTAAATTATCATTGCTATACCATCACCACATATGGTTTTGGAGTCAAATGTTTTGTGCAAGTAACTTGTACCTAGTGGCAGAATTTCATTACGTGACACATGAAAAGTTTAACCTTGGAAATATGCTATCTAAGCGTTGAAAGTATCATGAATAGAATCTAAATAAAGTAATTGAAAAATAAGTGCCTTGAGGGATAAGATAAGGTGATCCATGTTACTCCAGAGGAGTGGCTGTTTTTTGTCAATCAAATACATTAATTTAAGTATGTGAAGTATCGCGTAAGAAAAGGTTAAATTTCGGAGTCTCAACATGAAACAAAAACATTGTGGATCGAGCTTTAACAGTGATATTTTTAATGGGATCTTAATTCTTAATTCTTATAGAATCATTCATCTGTATCTTTATAGTCAAAGTAATTGAGAAAAACAAACAGCGTCCTTCTAAGATGAGCCTTTCAATGGTAATATCTATTTCTAATAATTAAATATAATCAAATCATATAAAACTGAAAAAGTAGAATGGATAGATAATTTTTTATGAAGATCTGATGGTTAAAATTAAAGAACTATTAATAGTTTATTTTTTCAAAATTTATCGTAGAAATCTCCAGACAAAAAGAAAAAACTAAAACTGTGCACAAATGACATCTAAGAAAACGTTACAAAAATATATATTTGTTTTTTCTTTCATAATCTACCTAAACTTTCAGACTGAGTTAAAATATTGGATGGCCTTTAGAGGATGGCTTCTAGTAGAAGATAAGAGAATTGTGGACCTTTGCTTAATTAGAAGTGACCAAGATGTCTAACTGATATTGATAGTACTACTATTCATCCTCTCGAAATATATCAATCGTAATGTAATATTTTCTCTTTTTGACGTACAAGTATAACCTACATAAACTATTAAACATATCAATTTTCAACTTGAAAGAGACCACAAACGGCGGCAAGAAAAATTCATTGTGCCTTTTTCTCCGTTCAATGCACTTCTCTTTATGAAAACAGCACGTGACTACCAACAAAAAATTAGGTGGAAAAGGAAAAAATATTCAAAAATTTCCTTCACTACTATAGCACTCCTATAAAAAGGCATTACTAGTTGTAGTATCCATAAATTGTGAAGCACATAACCGAAAAAAATAGTTAAATATTTCCCATGCAAACAACATGTTAATAGTACTAGTTGCACCGTAGCTTAAATCTTACAAGTGTCAAAATCGATTTTGTCAGACTTTCAACAAAAGAAGAAGAAGAAGAAGAAGAAGATAATGGCTGGAGTAGCGAGAACTCTGCGTTCTGGTTCTGTTTTTCTTCTTCTTTTTCTTCTACTGAGTTTTTTCTCTTATGGTACCGAAACTCAGGCGTCCAACACTATGAAGTTGGCCGGTTCTTGGAGAGGCATAGAGGCCGGTACGTTGGACCAATTCACACTTAGGGCGGTTAAGCATTCAGGACCGAGTCCAAGCGGTCCGGGTCACAGATCCAGTGTAAATAGTCGGCTTCTGGTTCGAATCAAAGCTTCTGTTAGAGAGGGGCACAACTGAGAATAGATCGACCAATATAGTATTCTTGTGTTTGATTTGATCTTGTTATTTTCAGTTATTCGACAAAATATATATATATATATATATGTAATATGTGTATGTGTATACCTATAACATTTTTGCAGGGCATAATGTGATCATTTTACAAGAACTATATGTTTATAGGTGATAATTTAATTTACATATTTATTTACTTTATTTACTGTACGAGAGTTCGAATCGAACTGTATATATCGTTATATCATACTTGGATTTCCAATATGGTGCCACACGCTCAGACTTAATGCCTATTGCTATATATTTGCCCAGTTCTATATCACAGTTTTGATTAATGATGTTCAGAAGTACAGCAACAGTAAAAGGAAAGAGAGAGTTAATTTGGAACGATCTTTCTTGCCTTTAGAAGGATACAATACGGCCCAATCTTCTAATTCATAGCAAATCCGCATTAAACTTGTTGAAACCGTATGGAAGTCGTAAAAAGAATGGCTAATTGCAAAAATATTCCTAAATACCGTTCCGTTATTGTTAGTATTATTCTTACTTTTGTTATTATCCAAACCAGTGCATATTTCAGTATATAACAGATTTTTTTTTTTAAGAAAAAAAATCCTCTTTACCAGCCAAATATAGCTTTCAAGTTTCAACGTCACCCCAAAAAAGATATATATAGCTTGCAATATCCAGTACACCAAAAAAATTCAGTACCTTCCTTAAAAAAAAAGAAAAAAAAACACCCGGCTCAACCATAAAGCCACATAGGTAATTGCCTGAGGCTATAGGTTGAGCCAAGGCCCCAGATGTTTTTAAAATGCATTGTGGTAACTTTAATAATTAATTAATTTTTATTAATTAGTTTAATTAATTAAGACTTAAATAACAAAAAAATTAAAAAAATTAAAGTTTAACCATTATTTTTTCCAACTTTATTATTTATGTGACTACACAATTTTAATATCATTATGGAAAACAACTAGTAAGTTATGAAAAGATAACCTGCATGTTATGAAAAATAAATTAAAGGTTATGAAACAATAATTTGTAGATTATTAGTAGCATAAGATAAATTTACAACAGTGGTCGAAATAAAATAGTGTTACTTTAATCATTATATTTTTTTTGTTTTCTCTCAAAAGTTGACCAACAAAAAGTTTGAAAGAGCACAATGACTCTTGCAAGTTTGAGTGATGATAGTGTAATTTTTAAGCATTACCTATACCATATTTAAAAGTAAATAAAAATATTCAAACTGCTCTTTTTTCGTTCGTTGAAAAACGTTTTTACAGAAAATTCCACAGTGCCATATTAAGAATAAATATCAAAAGTACTAATATTATATTATCATACTACAATACCACCAGTAACCACGGGTGACCGCCTATATCCTACCATATACTTATAGGTATCCCGTTGTGATACTAAAAGTTCTGGCAATCAGTGACATCCGGCCAGTGACTGCTAGTCTACTAGCATGATACTAAGATGTATGTCAAAGTTTTTAAACGGCAATAACCGGTATCCTACCGTTATACTTTGAAGTCGTCGACCATAGACCGTGGGGAATAAGAAAAAGAGAAAATCGTCCTCACAATCATTTTTTGTTTTAGATTGTTAGTAGAATTTGCAAAACCTTATTAATGGGTGGCATAAATCAATCCACACCGAGAATTCGTGGTATTTCCCGCAATTACTCAAAAACATGACTATACATTATATGGGCTGTCAAACTTTCAAAGCCCACGCTCTAAACTCTGGGCTGATTTTCTCACACGAAAGCCCGCTTCTATCAATAAGTCACCACCATATCACCCCACACGTCGAAGTCCAAAACCCCAACATGTCAAATTCCAGCCTCCTCCGCCGCCTCCTCCTCCTCTCTCCACCTCGCACCGCCGACCATTGCGTCGCCAAACTTTCTCCTTCAACCTTCCACTATCATCTTTCTCACTACTCCGCCTCCTCCGAGAAGAACGGCACGAAATGGTTCACTTTGCCACCGCACACAGCCACCGTGGACGGCGCCGTTTTGGGGAAGGCGATCGCCGGAGCAAAAGACGACGACGTAAAGGTCCTCCAAGCTTCGAAATCCGCCGCCACCACGGCGCTGAAATGGGTCGTCAGGTGCTGCCCGGAGCTCCCGAGAAGCCTCGTTCAGAAGCTCTTCCGCCTCAGACAGGTGCGATTTCATTCCGGTTCTTCCTCGCCGAAACCCTAGCGTGTAGCCAATTCTTACTGTTTTTGCTTTACTTTATTACAGGTTCGAAGAGAATCTTTTAACGTGGAAGATTGTAATGCCGGTGATCAATTAGGCAAACCTCGATTAAGAAGGGTAACTGATGTAATTTTTTACGTCCTAACATGTTGTTATGGTTATTCGTAAGAAAGATTTGATTTTTGATGTTTGAAGCTGATTTTAAGGTGTCGGCCAAAGATTCCCTGAACTTGGGAGACAAGATATTTCTTCCCATTTCTGTAAAAGAGCTTCCTGTGGAGAAAAAAGAGTGCTTTTGTAATGAAGAAGAAGTGAAGTTTATCCGTAGCCTTGAGTTGTATAAGGTTTTCTAGATACTTTTGCTTTGTTTCTTATTTGATGTGCATAATTGGGTAAAAAACATATGATATGACTCTCATTGATTGTTGAAATTTTAGGATCCGGCCATTGTTGTTGTCAATAAACCTCCGGGGCTTCCTGTTCAGGTTAGCTATTTTTTTTCGAAGTTCATTGGTGGTTTCATGTTTTTGGTTGTGGATTGAGAGTGATTTGTATATTTAGCTTTGAAAATGTGTCTTATTGGACAGGGAGGTATTGGAATCAAAACGAGTTTAGACCAATTGGCTGTCACTTGCTTAAGTTATGATTATACGGAACCCCCTCGTCTGGTGAGTTTAATGCGAACTTTCTTATCTGGTTTTCATTGATAGGAACTATTATAGAATGTCCGAACATTGGCAAAAGGTGGAAGGGAAGAAAGAGAGTCGGAAGGGGAATTCCATCTAGAGCTATTGTTTAGTTTAGGCTTTGGTTGCCGTTTGACAATATGAAGAATGCATGAACTAGAGAATACCGCCTTCACTTCACTCCCCAGAGGAGGAATTATTACTATGAGTCTATGACATGTTTTTTCAACTTCAAGCGTCTTTGGCCGTTCTATTCTTTTCATAGCATCGTTAACTGGGATCTTTCTTATATTTTGCAATATTTTTCTGGTTTCTCATACATATGTCTCGTCTTCTTGTAATTATAAGCATTGTGTCTTTTAGGTACATCGACTTGACCGAGATTGTAGTGGAATCTTGGTCATGGGACGGACACAAACAAGCGCCACAGTTTTGCACTCCATCTTCCGAGAAAAAACATTTGGAGCATCCAATGATGTGTGTAAATGCCGAATCTAGGTGTATATTTGTATTTGTCATCAGTGAAAAGCTAAACATATTAAATCAACCTGATATGCTTTTATCTTTAAAAGGAAACTGTCAAGGGAAAAATAGTTCTACAACGAAGGTATTGGGCTTTTGTCATTGGATCTCCAAGACATCCAAATGGTTTAATTTCAGCACCTTTGAGAAAGGTTAGTTGTAGATTCAATTAGGGAATGTAAGTTCGGAATTTTTTGACTGAAATTTATTGAGTTGCCTTTTTCACAGCTTAAATGTTCTCATTGTTTAGATGTCTTCCAAGATTAGTCTAATAAAAGTATGTCTTGCTAGTACTGAACAAACTCATCGACTCTGATGTTATATTATATTGTATATGCTACTCTCATTCCAGCTATCAGCTGGATATCAAAGATATCTTTGGCCAAGCCAAACACTTGATCGAGGATGTTGCGTTGCATGCATGATAAACAACAGGATGACAGTTTTTATCTTATTTTTATTCTTTGGTATGTTGCGGCTACTGAAATTTTGTAAGTTTGATTGCTTTCAGGTGGTGTTGGACAATGGGAAATCTGATCGAATTACAGTTGTGAATGGTTCACATACTTTGTCATCTCAGCATGCGATTACAAAGTATAAAGTGATTGGATCATCATCCCATGGTTAGCAATAAAATCCATTGCAAATTTGACATTGCTGTTATATGCAGCTTTTAAACAGCTTTAGATCTCAAATTAGGAAGCATAAGTCAAATATGCTCTTTTTGAGTTTCGCTATTTATCATTTACATGTTACCTTGCTTAAGACAGCAGGCAGGAGGTATATAAACTACTTTTAGGATCTGTATATGTCTCAAGAGGAATAATTATTAATTGTGTTTTTAATCTTTGATGTGCTATTTGGAGTAGTCCAGTGTAATTTTCGTTATTTAATGCTGGTTTAACCTGCAATTTTCTTCGAACTCTTTTGATTGAAGATAACTACCCTGCTCAGCTGCTGTGAATAAACTTGAAACTAGTACGCAAAATGACTTTTCTCGTTTAAATATTATTCTTCTTATGCTGTAGTTAATATGCAGGTTATACATGGTTAGAGCTTTCTCCTCTAACTGGTAGAAAGCACCAGGTATGGCTGAGAAAGTATTGATCTCGATGTCTTACTAAAAACTTTTCCTTTGGTGTTACTGACTTCTTTTGCATTCATGACTACTTCAACCCTGTGCACAGCTCCGTGTCCACTGTGCTGAGGTTTTGGGAACCCCGATGGTTGGAGATTATAAATACGGGTGGCAGGCGCATAGGGACTGGAAACCTTTACATTGGCCTGATCCTGATAACAAATGTATTGAGGTGCTGCCAAAGAGGAAAAACCTCCCCTTTGGTCTGAATATGGATAATGGAAGTATCTCCGAGAAACATCCACGACTACATCTTCATTGTAAACAAATGGTTTTGCCCAATATATCTCATGTTTTGCAAAATGTTCAACGGTATTCAGACTATGAGCTTTCACGGCTAGAAAGGCTCAAGTTGGATGCTCCTCTGCCTTCATACATGCAGAGAAGTTGGCATCTTACAAACTCATAGAGACACCTATATCTTCCAAGTTTCCTCTTCATTCTCCTATATCAACATCTTTTGAGGTGATTTTTAAAATTCATGTTATTTCTAGCAGTTTCGACTCAGAATTATTCACCAAGACATTCCATTCTTTGTTAAGTTTAAAGGCATATTATTACTTTGGGATGAGGCAATCTTTTGCCGTGCCCACCTTTTCTTGGTAAATTCTATTTCTGAAATACAAGTGCTGTACCGTTAAAGTCTAAGAGAAGAGACGGAACAAAAGACTTGCTTCAGTTACTTTCTGGCTTAGCAGCCACCATAAATTCGTGTTAAACAAAGAGGCATTTGGTTAGATTTTCGAACAACCTAGAAGTAGTAATGGTCTTGTAAGTGCTCATGCTGATATTGTCCCTGTTTTGCTATAAGATAATTTCTATCTACACTATGCTGACCAGTGGATTTTTCTGCAGGCAGGACAAAGTCTGTGGCTTCAAGTACAAATTCCAAATGCCCGTTCATATTGTTTAAAGTGCACAATAGGAGTTTTAGCATGCCTCCGTATTGTTTATGTTGCCATTTTCCACTCTAACGGGAGTTTTGGTTAATCAAGCTTTTACCCGTTTGGGATTTATGCATCAGACGCTGACATCTGCACTAAAGTGGGTGGAAGTATGGTCCTCTTCATTTATTTTACCGATTTAAATTTAAAATTTTAATTTTGTTATAGTAAAATGTTCTCAGAAACAGTCACATTTAATTTTTTTACTACAGTAAAAAACTCTCAGAAACAGTCACATTTAACTTTTTTGTTACTGTAAAAAATTTTCACATAAAATCACATCTCAACTCAAATTAAAAACTCGAATTAGTGAACTAAACGGTCTTAAAAAACATGACACGTTATGCAATTAATGCATAACGAGATCACTGGCAATAACTAAACGTATGTTGACCTTGCAACGATCTTATTCAGTAGAGTATCCTCTTAACCGCAGGATGAGAACTCTTTTGGTTTTAAATTAGTCATACTTCTATGGGTATTGACCTCTGGCTCTCCACGACTCGTGCTATAATGAGACTTATGTTCTAGAATTATAGACCTAGCAGTTGGCAAATAATAGATGCTCTGTAATTCTCACAGTAACTAAACAAATCAATACTACAAAAGCAGATCAAAATTTTTTTTTTCCCTTTTTAACGGTCATTTATCTTCGATTGGGCATGGTGGAAGAGATTGAAAGCTACGTTATCACTTTTAACTTGTGGAGTAGAAAAAAAAAAAAAAAAAGGAATATTTGTGGTTCGTATTTGCTGGATGCGTGAAAAGTTGAACACCATGATGGCCCCACCACTGACTTCATATTGATTGCCACTAAGAATTATACTTAAAAAGGAATAAAATTATACTTGACACGCACGCCGTAACATAATAATGTATATCACGTCCTCTTTTACTGTTTCTTTTTAAGTATAATTCTTAGTGGCAATCAATATCATAATAATGATCATTGCAGTCGAGCAGATAAGGAGCGAATGCACAGGAACAATGTATATGAAAGGCAAAAGGTCGCCCTTAATTATTTATTCGAAGGCTGGAGTTTACGTCAATAAGCTGTTGAAACCTCATTTCTTCTCTTCTTTTATTATATAATATATTTGTAGGTATATCTGTTATTAGATTGGTCTTCTTCGAAATGTTACTACCAAGTCAAAACTCTTTAGAGATTATCATATTTGCTAAGGCATTCGAGTTGACGACAAAAGTAGTTGTTAAAATTGATTTTTGATCATTATCTTAACAGAGATTAAGAATATTATGGGGGTGTTCTTTTCATAGATTTAAGTTGCAAACTTAAATTAAAATTCAAATCTTTATGAGAGAAAATATTATAGTAAAAAGATTGAATTCTAGTTGGAATAGAATGGCCTTTGACCTTTTATTTCATTCATTTTACAAACCTCAAAACTTTTCTTGTTTTTACTTGTAAATACACACTTGAAAATTCGGACTGATACGAGGAAATATAAACAGCTCTCTTGACTATATACCTTCAATATTTCCTCAATATTTAAGTTATCAGACCCTTAACATGTATCTAAAAATTAATAATTGTTTTTCAGCTCCCTTTTAATTATAGGTTATTACCATTTTAACTGATCAGATAATTATGTTCTGTCGTTTCCAAAAAAAACAAAGGAAAGCTTATCTTAAGAACAATTACGACATACCTTTTGAATATAATTTATGATAAAAATTGTAGGGGGGACGTGACAATCTTTTTCCTAGTTGGGTTAAATTTCTGTATTGGGCAAGAAAAATTGATGGATGAATGAATGAGTTATGCAATTCCACCGAGTGATTTGGTACCACTTTATCAAAAGGATTTGCTTTCTTTGGACCCGTTCGGTTCGCTAAACTGGAATGAGCAAAATGAACGGTCTTTGTCACTCATCAGGCTCTTAGATTGTCAAAGTCCTTTTTTACATATAAGTGTCGAAAGAGGTTTGGTGAGCTGAGAAGGAAAACTTGGAAGCAAACTTCTATTATCGAGAAAAGGTCGTTTTCTTAGGTAGAACGTTTGGGACTTGGGTGGTGGAGTCCTAAACCAAGCGTAAGCTTCTCTACTTTCATATATGTATGTGTGTGTATATATATATATATATATATGTATATGTGTGTGTGTGTGTGTGTGTATATATATATATATATATATATCCATGTCAGGTTTGTTATAGAAAACGATATATGCTCATCAACCCGTTGATATTGCGTAAAAGATCAAATTTCTTATTTGCAGAAATTTACACATGTACGATCTTAATTACATGCCACCTACTAAACAGCGACCAAATTATAGAGGATTCTTTATGACGTCTATTTTAATGATTTCATAATGTCCTAGCTATTATTTTGAAATTGTAAAAGAAAATTTTATATACAAATCAATTTTATAGTGTATATATATAAATCTTAGTTTTAGTAGATTTACTTTGCTTTCTTGGCTGATATCAATCATTTCATCAAATATTTGTTTGGCTCTAGTGAAAGGCGGGGGCTGGAAGTAGACATTGAGGGTGACTGCAAGACAATTCTTGATGCTTTTGCTCATGGTGATGACTGTATGTAATTTGTGTAAATTTCTGTTGAATTCCTAGAAGGTATAAGCAGGCTGCTCATTCTTTGTGTGTTTGAGCTTTTAGGAATAGATGCTCTGGGTTTGTTGTACCGGGGATCCTTAACTCAAATGTTGCTGACATTTTGCTCTCTGAGAGCTCTTGATCAATAAAATTCTTGAACTTTTAGTAAGAGAAAAAAAAAAAGTATTTGTGTAAGAGAAAAAAAAAAGTGTTTGTGTAAGAGAAAAAAAAAAAGTATTTGTTTGTATTATATTACAAGTATTAGAGGTTAGATCCATGCTTTCATTTTAATGATTGCAGAGCATCTAGAGTTAAAGGGATCGTAGTTAATGCATCTCCCATGTTCTTTAGTGGATCAAGTATACCAAGCATCTCTTATATATATATATATATATATATATATATATACTGTATAAAATATAAATCATGTACATCTTGACAAAGTTATGTATATATTTTATTAAATTTCCCACCGAAAGTGTAATAAACCTGCTTTGTGCTAATTCAAAAATTTTTTTTTGATAAATACTTTTTAAAAAGTGTATGAATCAAAATTTTTACTATTTATTCTTGATTGATAACATTTTTAGTCAACTAATTATACTAATAAAAAGATATTTATCAAGAGTAAGAGATAAAAGTTTAGACTCATACACTCTCAGGAGTAATTTTCTATTTTTTTCCAAAAAAAATGTTATTTCTACTATGGTGCAACTAAAACCGCAAGTTTTGGTCGGATTAAACGGGCCGGGTAGAAGCCCGCAACTGTTAGCCAAGATCCAACCCTAAATTTTATTTTTCTTTTAAAAAAAATGACAAATTGCCTTCCAAAGGTAATTAATTATAGAGGACCATTAATATTAACCCCAACTCTAAATTTAACAATCTGTTGTCTACAATTAAAATAATTTACTTTTTATTTTTTCTCTCTTTAACTTCAAGTTTAAAAATATCTTTAATTTTTTCGTTTAAATTCCGATTAAGATAATTTGTTTTCAATATGTTCATAATGAAAAGAAGAACAAATCCTCATCTATATTGCATATTTAAATGTGTCATTCATAATAAGGTTTTGTTAGAATACTTTAATGACAGTTTTCAATACTCTATTCAAATACAATTTGAATTTTATTTTCAATTCAAATTACAATTTATTTAGGTATCTAAATGAGTTGGAATCACATTTCAAATCACAGATTTTACAAACTAAATCAAATCACTATGATTCAAACAACGATCTTTATAATTATATATCAGCCATTTTTAGCAATCATATTAATAGAAAGTGAACACACGGTATAGGATCAACTCTATTAATATATATTAGCAGACCTCTGATAAATTTGGTCATATATTTAATTCTGGTGGAAGCAAGAGAGGATAAATTCCCAAATCAGACTTCACCTACCCCCACCAGACCCCACTATAGAAGGGTATGAGGTGTCCAAGATTTCCTTTGCTTTTGAATTTCTAATTTTCATCACGTCCTGTCGTGTATTTATCATATGTGTGTGTATATTATATATATATATATATATATATATATATATATTGGTTTGCTTTTTAAGCCAACCCAAACAGATCAGTTTTGTGTACCACCCACTATCTCTCTTCTCTTCTCATTCAGAAACAGTGATCATCTCTCAATCGGAAATAATGGGGAGCATCCAGGAGGAAAGAACAATTACAGGATGGGCAGCAAGGGACTCATCTGGTGTTCTCTCACCCTACAAATACACTCTTAGGTGACAATCACCAATCACTAATATTCATAAATGTATATTTATATATATATATATATATGTGGTCTAATTAATTATGTATTATGAAAAACATGACTACATGCAGAAACACAGGCCCGGAAGATGTGTACATCAAGGTCCTATGCTGTGGAGTTTGTCACACCGATGTTCACCAGGTCAAGAATGATCTCGGCATGTCCAACTATCCCATGGTTCCTGGGTACGTACATATATCAATATACATATACATATATATATACATATAATCTATTTCATGCACGGAGCCTAGTTATTCCCAGTAACCCACCACTCAACTTTTTTTTTTTTCAAGAAATTATATATACATAAATCGCTCCTACTAAACATTAAAACTGTAATTTTATAATCTCATTAATTACTATTATTTTTTAATTATTAACCTCCACTGACAAAATTTTCTGGACTCCTCACTGTGATAGGCATGAAGTTGTGGGGGAAGTGGTGGAAGTGGGATCGGAAGTGAGAAAGTTCAAAGTGGGAGATGTGGTGGGAGCAGGGTGCCTGGTGGGAAGCTGCAGAAACTGCAAGCCTTGCAAATCCGACAGCGAGCAGTACTGCAACAAGAAAATCTGGTCATATAACAGCGTCTACACCGACGGCAAACCCACTCATGGCGGATTCGCCGAGGCCATGGTCGTCGATCAGAAGTAAGCTACCTAACTAACAAATATATACATATATATATATATATATATGCATATGTATAATATTCTGACTCCTTTCGTTAATTAATTATCTATTCCGTTTGCTTTTCTTTACATAATCAATTAAAAATTCTATTTTAAAAAGAGTGTTAT